ATTAATTGGTTGTTTGGTCTCTTGGGATACGACCTTGCTTGCCACATACTACGAGCGAAGCCGTACACTTGCGGTCGAGCTTTAAAAATATAGGCGAACAAGTTTTTGTGGTTCCGATGTGAGCTCAGGCGCAAGTGGAGAGTCAGCTTCCAGATTATCATGTGCCGATGTTGAAGCTCTGCGAGGGGAATTTTCATGTAATTTTTGTCAAGTTTTCAACTTGACTACTTTCTCCCGTACCATCTCCAATTCAACCGGCTCATGTCTAGCAGGGTGATTTTTCTCTATTTGTTGACGCAAGTCAGTTTGCTTCACGGGTTGTTGCAATACGGGTTGTGTAACCATCGAAGATCTTTGACGATGATCAGACTGGCTTTCAGTCGTCTGTTCTTGAAGATTACCCACCGAGAGGACCACGTCGCCAGGAAGGTTAGAGTTTGGTTGAATTGCGAATCTCTCTCTTGGTGGTTGAGAGGGGTTACGGCGTGGTTGAGAAGTTGCATGTGATGTTGCTGCCTCAACAAGCCTTTGAGCTGGTGGTACGTGAGATTTAACTGGTCGTACGGGAGTTGCCGGGGAAGTCCCTGGCATAGTTTGGGCCATCAGAGCTTAAAAACCCTTTTGAAATTCAGGATTTTGAAACAGAACAACAAAATCTAAGATTGTCGGTGCTATGGTTGTTCGTCCGGAGGACTGAGCGACGTCGCGGCTATGGTCTGCCTTTGAAGTTTGTTCTTGTTGCTCAGATTGCGGCATATTTTGCTAGAACGGTTGATATGAAAACACACAATATGAACGTATGTAATGATGAAGAATTGTGTATCTTGACCCAGTTTGTAAATAAACGCGCGCTAACGACCTTCGCTTAAACACAAAAAGTTGTGAAGAAATGTGCTCTAAGGCCTTCTTTCGAACACGATTGTCATAAAACCCACACTATCGGCCTAGTTCTAAACACGAGAATTGCTCTTGTGAACGATTTTCTATTAACTTCTTCAATCTTCAATTTGAATGACAATAGAGAGTATTTATAGAGGCTAAATAGATCTAATCCAATTCTAACTATAATCCTACTCTTGGAAATAAAATAATCCCCTAAAGCAACTAATATCCTATAATCTAAGACTTACCAAATAACTAACTAGGTAAATAGGCACATGCCTTTATTTCAAATCCTAACCAAACTAGAAGTCATACTATGCTAAAGAAATCGGCCCTCAATCTTCTTGCTTGCGCCGCACGTTGATCGAACCCTAGCCGCGTCGTGCTAGTCCTCATCCTCCAAGGTTTCGGGCTTACCCGTATCATCGCGCGCATCTGCGCCCCACGCGTCGTCCGTCACTTCCCGCGCATGTTCGCCTCTCGCAACTCTTGCATGCTCGCTAATCGCAACCCGTGCATGCTCGCCCACCCGCGTATCGCCCTTCGCGCCATTTCGCGTGCTCGACCTGCCCGTGCGTGATCGACACGCTAGCCTCCAGGCGTTGAACGCGTCTTTCCTTCCTGCCATCCCTCTCGCATGCTTTGCACCCGCTGGTCGTGTCTCGTGCTTCGCCCAAGATGCTCGCCGTGTACTCGGCGTTGGTCCACTGCGTCCTCTCGTGCGAACCTCCTGTCGCGTGGTTCTCTGTCATGTGTCGCTGCCCCGCGCCCCTCATCACTCTGCTGACGCGTATCACCGGCACACGCGTCGTGCGATCATTATGTGCACGCCATTTTACGCGGTTGCGTACCCTTTTCCCGTGGCCCCGTCCATTCACGCGTCTATTCCTTTGGTCATCGGGCGCCGCATCCTTGAGCTCGGATGGGTCGATGACCACATCTTGGAGCCCTCCTTCTAGCGCCAAACTATTGTTATTCGATATTTAACAGCGCTATTAACTTGCAATTATCTTGTAAAAAGCAAAAATTATATTTGAATAATCTCATAATATAAGAAGTCGTTTTTTTGTGAACCGAATTGATTTTGTCCATGCGTAATAAATATTTGCCAAAGCCCCCTGTACAATAATAGATTTTGCTATTTATATTAGCATGTGTTTGACTTTTTGTACGAGGTAGATGTGATTGCATTAAATGAAAAGTAGCTTTAGGAAAGCAGTTGGTCGGTCAACGGGTAGACAACAATGATTTCAAAGTGGTATGCGGTCAAATTGTATGGGCGCCTTGTCACCAGCTTCAATCTCGTTTTTTTTGGACGTTGGTTTCAGATTATGACCTCGGTTTTTCAGGTGACTTCTACCGAATTTCACCAAGTTCGGTGTGTCCGCTGGTTTAAGTAATCATTTTTCAAATAATATTGGGAAATCTCCATTTTATCCTTCGTTTAACAGGTAGACCTAGAAATAAGAACAAAATAAAATTATATTGATACAATTAAATAATGAAAAGCGAATACCAGACTATATAAAATATAGAAGGACGATATATTTACTTACCAGATATATTATTAGACAAGAAGCTAGTAACAAAATTGAAAAATAAAGGAAGACTAGATTTAGAAAAGAAAGAAGGAATAAATAATGACATATTATAAAAATTAAATAGAAAATATCATTACAATTTCTTATATCATTATTGACCAAGAAAATTAATAACTGCATAAGAATAATGTGTAATTACCAAGAAAAAAAATTAATGGAATCAAGAGGTATACTTATGGTTGTTTGTTATAGAATAACATATGCATTAAATAATAGTAGTTTAAGTATGCGCTATGAAAATCAAGAAAGAATATATACAAAAAAATATGTAATGAAACAAGTACTATTATAAATAATAATATAATTTAAAAAGAATTTTTAAGAATATTTAGTAGGCGGTCATTCAATAATCTAACAAATTTAAATAAACTAACTGAAAAGAATTTAGTAAGAATACAAAAAATTGATGAACCCCATAACAGTAGTAGTTTATATAAAAGAGGCATATAGATAAAAAAAATTAAATAAATAAGTAGGTGAACAAAGCTCATTAATAATAAATTTAAATAACAAACCTAAAATTTTAAATTTAGATATGAATATGGGAGATATAAATATCAAATTATATGAAATAAAAAGAAAGGAAACTACAGATAAAGATTATTTAATTGAAAAAGTAATTTAATATAAATATATAGAAAAAGATGAACAAAAATTAAAACAGCTAGATTATAATATACAAAATTTTACACAAAACAGAGAAAAATGTTTAAAACTGGACCACCTAAAACGATAATATAAAAATTGTATAAAAGCAAGACAACGATTTAAGAATAAAATGAGTACAAGAAAAATATATCTTGATATAAAATGTGAAATACAAATAATAAAAATGGATACAAAAAGGTATAATATGTTAAGTGATACTATATGTTCAAAATTTTATTTTAAACTAACGATAAAAAGTGAAAATAGATTAAAAATAATAATAAAAATACAGAAACAAATAATAATTGCTTAATTAAAAAACAAGTAAAACATTTAAACTATACATTATTTTAAAATTACACGTGTCAAGATATGATTCGCCGATAATAAAAACGGGCACCACCTTCACGGGAAGAGCTGTAAACGAGCCGAGCCGAGCCGATCTCGAGCTTAAGGTGCTGGAGCTCGACCTCGAGCTCTTAACGAGCCGAGCTCGACTTGTTATATAAACGAGCTAACATTGGAGCTCGGGCACGACTCGTTAAGACCTCAAGCTCAAGTCTTAACGAACCGATTTCGAGCTTGAACGAGTAGAACTATAAAAAATTATATAAAAATACTATTTTCGAGCTTTACTGAATTGAGCCGAGCTCGGCTCGTTAACCAATTGAGCTTTAAATGAACTCGAGCTCGGCTCGTTAAGGTCTCAAACTCGAGCTGAATTGAATCGAGTTTAATTTAACAACAATGTTGACGGGGAATCGAGTTGAATCCGGTTTCATCACCGGTTCAACTTTTAGAATTGGAAAGTGATGAAAAGGGTTGGCTGCGAGTACACACCTGGGCCCACCATTTGATGGGTGATCTTTGCACATTTGTCGGGTCTACCTTCTGTATCTGGTTTTGATTTTCTTGGAATTATATCAGTTATCACGACAATCATCACATCTGAAAAAATGTAAAGTTCAAAATACAACTACGCTGATGTAATATTATCATTTTCTTCAGATTATCATCTTCCTTGCTTCTCTGTCACAGCCGCTTTTATTGCAGGTTTTGTTTGTTTCGACTTCATTAAATGTTTTGACTTTATAGGTTATGTTTGCTCTTAGTTGGAAGTTTGAACTGGAATATTTGATGATTTATATGAAAGTTGTTGTCTTTCTTGGGCATTAATTATTTGGTATTTCTCTAAGTGTGCTCGTTGAAGCTGTGAATAAAATTTGAGTGGGTTAGATTAAAGGGGTTGTGCTCTGATTTGGGTTTGGTTTTGTTTGTAGGTTTTTGGTCAATCTTGATCTGGGTGGTGATTGAATCTTGGTGATATGTGTTTTCTGATGACCAAGTTCGACGTCGATTTTTCGAGTTTTGGAGGCTTGAGAAGTGTTCTCTTCATTGGTGCGCAAGAATTGGTGGATCAGTATTTGGAACTCAGTTTAAAATTGGGTTTTTTGGATTGAGGGTTTGGAGTTATTTCAGTTGATCACTGTTCTGATTTTGTTTCGCCGTCTTTATATTGAAATTTAGTTATTTGTTGGGAGACCTCTGTGCAAGTTCGCTCAAGTCACTTTGAAGGCATATTCAATTGTATTGTTTACTGCTTTCCGGTTCAATTTCGAGGGCCTGCTCGGTCCAATGAATTATGGAAATTAAGCATGCTTGATCATATGTGAACATTGGACAGCCGCCAAGTTGTTTTATCTTTGTAAATTCGGGCGCATTCTAGCTGTGCAATGTTTCTTGTCATGCCTCCTTCTGAAACTTAATGGTCGAGAAAAGTTGTGTTCTTGGGGCCCCTTTCGAAAATGACTCGAAGTTGGTGTATCCTTATGGTGCTCTTGGAATTGATGATTATAACTTCTTCTCGGTTGTTGAAGCATGGAGAGGATTGTGGGGCATACAGTTTCAGCCACTCGGATGACCCGAGTCGCGAATTGTTCTATGTAAATGGGAAATTGGTGGACAGATTTTTCTTCTGTAACACTTTGATAGAGCATAATGAGAAACAGTGTCTCCTTACCGAATATGCCAGGAAAAAATACTGCCCATCAGTTGGTACCAATACATCTACATTTTCTTTTTTCCTATCTCATTTTTTTTTTTTAGCCCAGTAAAATGGAGTTATTGTTTACTTGAGAGACTAAATTTTTATGCTTTTGTTGTTTTTCCTGCCTTGTACGAATCTACAGACAAGTCGCCGTTGGTAACTAGAAGAGAACTTGTAGAAACTGTGGTTCCAGAGGGATCCAGAAGGCTTGATAATCATACAGTATTTATGGCTAATTTCATATCGAAGCCCAAGATGGTGGCTATGGGTGTGCCGGCTATCTTCTTATTCTGTTGTGTGTTACTATGTCCATGCTTCCATTCAAAGAAAAGAGATTCTGAGCTTACTGTTCTCACCAAGGAGCCAACTTCAAGTATGCACATTAATTTATGTTGACGTTTATGGAGTGTTTTTCCAGTTTTGATCTCTGCATACTAATGGATTAACAGGAGCGCTGATTCTTTTTTTCCATCTACCTTTTTTTGTTCCTTTTCCTGTCAGATCTATTTGGTAAAATATAAAAAGAAATGGCTTTTTCATCGATTGAAATAATTTATATGCATGTGGTTAGGTTGTAATACATTTTAGATGTCTAAATATGTCATGTCATACAAGGTGAAAATTGTAATGATTTATGCATGGAAATTTTACTTATGCTTGTGTAAACCGGCTAGGAACTAAGAAGAATGTGTTTAATACAATTCGCTCGGTCCCTATTCCCTAATAAAATTGTATATTTTTTGTGCTGTTCTTGCAGTGGATTCAATTTCGTCTCTAGAAACGAAACCTGCATTCGAGAGTTACCCTGGGAGCCCACAGAGAGTACCTCCAAGTCCATTGAGAGTTCCTCCAAGTCCATCAAAATTCTCCATGTCACCAAAACTCAATAGGCTTGGATCTCTTCATCTAAATATGAGCCAAGTCGTGCGGGCCACGCATAATTTCGCTAAATCACAAAGGATTGGCGGGGGAGGGTTCGGGGCTGTGTATAAGGCTGAGTTGCCTGATGGCCAGGTAGTCGCTATCAAACGAGCAAGAAAGGTATAGATCCCTCGTTCTTTCTCGTAGCATCAAGTTTTGCAGCTTTTCTCTCTTTTCATGTTTTTACTGTGTAACTGCTAAGAGAACACATTATTTTAATTAGAATTGCTATAATAGGTTGTTGTGGAAGCATATGGACAATTAGAGAGTGGTTGGATATAAGATTTTTTTCGTAAACTTTTGTCTTGTATTAAAAAGTGAGATGAAAAAAGTAGAAAAATTTAATATTGTGAATGGATAATAGTTAAAGTTGATTTAAATATAAAAATACTAAAATATTGATTGATAGATTGGTAGTTACAAATATGTGAGTGGATGGATAATGTTTTTCTGGTGGGAAAATATATAATAATATTTACTTTTTGTTGTAAATATAGTCGTGTTTGGGAGTCGAAGCAAAAGTTCTTTCTTGTTTTTTCTTCCAAACGGCAAATACGGCTATATTAACCTCAAATAAAGTACAATAGGTAACCAACTATCTACAAGGATCATTCTAACTGTCACTTGACAGAAAGAAACGAACTGGGGGAGTCGCTTACCATAAGAGCTCCCCCTCCACAAAGGGATCAACCTACAAAAAACTCCAAAACAAAGGAGAAAAAATACGCCACATAGGGAGACGAGACTAACAACAAAAGACAAAAACAAAAATTAAAACAATACAATGAGACCTTCCCTACTTCGAACAGCAATTAACGTTCACCTCCCACCCAAACCAACACACGTAGAAGTCCTTTAAGCGTAAAACACAAACCCCGGCAGATCCAAAACTCTCAAACCTAGGAGTTACTCCAGTTCATTTAGGAACGGCTAAACAAGTTTGATGAGGAGACCGACGAACTCGAGTTCAGATATGCCAACGAGATACGAGCCAGGACAAAAGAAGGAAGAACGACAACCCGAAGCACACGCCAGTCTCCTCTGGACGCCGGCCTTCTGACGCAAGAGTGCGAGGAAGACACCGGCCTCCACCAGGCCATCCTGCCCATGGACTAGGCCAATTGATTGGAATGCCTTTTTGACCTGAACAGTAGAATCCATTGGTGCCGAGTGTAAGAAACATTAGTACACCAATTAGGGACTTCAAAATTCAAATGAACAAACTCATGATATTAGAGAACTGAATTGCCGAAGTTAGCATCTATGGGACCATAATTGCAAAGTATTCAGGAGGCGTGTTCATTCGACTTTGAACTACATTTTAAGACTTTAAAATCCGAGATTTTAAGATTCTTTGATTTTACTCAAGTCCGTGGAGATCTTAAGTCTAGAGGGATTCGGTTGTAGGTTTTTTGTATATGTAATGTGTATTTGGAATCTCAATAAGTCTTAAATAAGGCGCAACAAATCCGAGTTGCAAATAAATTGAATACCTTATGACATTTTAAGACTTTTAAAATTCTCAAAGAAATACCTCCACACTTTTAAATGTTTTAAAAAGTCAAGTTGAATCCACCAGGATTACTAAAAACTCTCAAAGTCTTATAAATTCATGAATGAATACAAGCCCCTAAAAAACCAAGATTATTAAAATCTCAATGTCTTATAAATTCATGAATGAATACACCCCCGTGACTGATGTCCACTTCTTCAACACCAAAGTTTCTAGGTATGCAAACTCACCAGTTGCAAATTTGAGGGAAAGCCAAATGTATTGTTTTCTCAGTATACATAGTCATACATATTATAGTTTATTTAAAATAGATGAAAACCTTCATGCTATATAGTTTCAGCTAAATTTGTGTATGTTTCATTACGCCATTAGGATTCTAGTCCTTAAATAGTGCTCTTTTCATAATTTTAAGGGTTGATTGATTGATTAATAAAAGCATCGAGATTTATGTATCTCCTTCCAAGCAATCTACACTGTGAGTTTATGCATTGCTTGTGTGTGTTCTCTTTCTTGCTCTTGTAGCTTCTGTCTGCGTGATATATTACTGACTTTTTGAAAACAACTTTCACTTTCTTTTGTGTTTACAGTTTTGCTCAGGTATCATATATAGTTAGTTGAATGAAATGAATCTATATTTTTCGTTAATGTCCTATGTGCTCCATATTTTTGCTAGTGAGTTGTTTCTGTGGGAACAATTTCAGGAGCACTTTGAAGCCTTGAAAGTGGAGTTTAAAAGTGAAGTTGAACTTCTGGCTAAAATTGATCATCGTAACTTAGTCAAGCTTCTTGGTTATGTCGAAAAAGGAAGCGAACGAGTGATTATCACAGAGTATGTGCCCAATGGTACACTTAGAGAACATCTAGATGGTAAGGCTTTCAATGTCATCGAGTCTTGCAAATTTGACTGTCATATATACAAAACTGTAACATAGCCGTTGTTCTTGGTAGGTATCAAGGGTAGAATATTGGATTTCTATCAAAGACTTGAGATTTCCATTGATGTTGCTCATGGCCTAACCCATCTCCATCTATATGCTGGTAAGAATGATGTGTCCTATTCCCATATTTGTTCTGGGCAATAAAAATTGGAAATCAATATGAAACTGCAACGGAAAACACTATTGGTTTTTGCACGTATACAATGTTTCTTATATTTTTGAATTTACTCTGAATTAGTGATGTTTATTATGAGGAATTGGAACTAGAGAAAGTTATGGGAGCAATTTGGTATTCTTCTTTCATTTTGAAAATTTGTCATGAAAAAATCATGGAGCAAAAGTTATAAGTTTTTCAAAATGCGAAATTAATTTTAAGTGGAAATGTGATTTTTAAATTTGATGTGATGTAAAAATAATAAAATAATAATTGATAATTGGGAATACAAGAATGAAGAGCGAATCTTGTATTTTAATTAAATAGAACAAAAATGAGCCATCACAAAATTCCGATAAAAAAAATTTATCTAGTTGTAGCCAAAATTCTTGATTTGGCGTACTCCTCGATATCCTTGTCTTTAGATTCTCTTTTATCTGGTTTTTCGGGGCTATTATTTTTTCCGTTTACCTTTTTGCAGAGAAGCAAATTATCCACAGAGATGTCAAGTCCTCCAATATTCTGTTGACCGAGAACTTCCGAGCCAAAGTTGCAGATTTTGGGTTTGCCAGAGCTGGGGACGATCCTGACTCTGAGAAAACGCATGTATCCACCAAAGTAAAGGGCACAGTTGGGTACCTTGATCCCGAGTATATGAGGACGTTTAAACTCACAGCCAAAAGTGATGTTTATTCGTTTGGAATTTTATTACTAGAAGTTCTAACGGGCCGCCGACCTGTGGATATGAAGAGGCCGGCTGATGAGAGGGTGATGATTAAATGGGTACGTTTCCTTTCTTGTATAGAAATGGTCTTCTGGAGTTGTTTTTAAGCCTTGACCATGACAAAGGATAGCTAACAAAATTATGTTTGCCCCTCCAAGGTTCCAACTGATGAAATTTGCTATTCCAACCAGATACTTTGTTGTTAAACCCTTAATTTAGCTATATATTAAAAGAAAGATGGCCATTTGTAGTATTTGGGAAGGTTGGGGACGTAACTATAAAAATATTTGAAGACGCTAACAATTCCCATTAATGGAGCTAACAACATGTTCAAAATGTAAGATGTACTTTAAGCTCAAGGTCATGGTCGAGTTGTAACATTTCTGGAGTTCCTTTTTCCCTCCTCATGACTTTACTCACATAGCAATGGTCATGCGGTTTAAGCAATCGATCATGATTTTCTATCTCACTTCAAGACATTTGGTTACACTATAATTTTTGGAAAGTATGATGTCTCATATTAAAAAAGTAAAATTTTACGTCACACATATATGATACTGTCTCATACTAGTTTGTGTGTGTCATTTAGTTGACTCAAGATTACAAATCAACCTAAAAAAAGAAAAAAAATGCTCGGTTTGGGTGTTCACGTTGTTATTCCATGGATACTTGTGATTTTTATCATTAATTTAGAGAATTTTTTGTTATCATTAATAGAAGTGGTTAATTTTGAGCTATAATAATTTGGGTTAAATTACATGTACGGTTATACAGGCGTTCCGGAAATACAAAGAAGGAAGAGTTTCGGAGATGGTAGATCCTTTGATGGGGGAACATATAGATGATGAAATTCTTACGAAAATGTTTGGTTTGGCGATCAGATGTGCTGCCCCTACACGCGTAGATCGACCGGACATGAAAGCTGTGGGTGAACAGTTATGGGCAATTAGAAAGGATTATCTTAAAACCGAAGGGAGGGGCTCATAAAAATGTAGCTTAATTAGGTCTGTTTAAAAAGAAGACAGAACAAAGTTGTATTGATGTTATGGAAAGTTTTGAGTCTCATATGTCTGATCAGTTTTAGAATGATGTCCAGTGAAGTTCTAAAGGGTTTCTTAAGATTGACAGACGTTCTTATGATTTTCAGTATGCCTTTTTTTTTTTATTTTTTTTATTTATAATATATAAATAATATATTTATTATATTTATAATATAATATATATATGTTACATATAATATATAAATAATATATTTATTATATTTATAATATAATATATATATTACGATTATTATATATATATATTTTATATTATATATATAATATATAATATATTATATATAAAATTTATAATAACTGTTACATATAATATATAAATAATATTATATTATATATAATATTATATAAAATTCTTGGATGGCATAATCGTAAATTCTTGGATAAAAGAATTTTATAATGATAAATTGAACAAAAAGTAACGCCGTCAGGGGGATTTGTAACGGCGTTAACGTAGCAGGGAGAGTGTGCATGCAAAAGTATATTACAAGGGGGTATGGCGCAATTTTTAAAATACAGGGGGAAAACGCGCAAATTTAGTATATTACAGGGGGGTTTGGTGCAATTTACCCAGAAGTCATACCATGTATATATAAATAATTACACATTATAAACTCAAACATGTTCTACAAGTAAACTTGTTTTTATAATATTTTATTAGCATCTCCAACTGTTCAAACATGCATAAAACAAAAAGAATAGAAGTGAAAAGTATCGTAAAAAGTGTTTATTATTGTTAACAACACACAATATCTTAAAACTGCTTTGTGTGTTTTATATATAAATAATGAAATCATTTGATATTATAAAATATTAATTTTTATTAGTGAATATAATAAATTTAAAAATAAAATTTAAATTGATTGAAAAAAAAAAATAGCTAAAAGTAAATGTCGTTTTTCAAATTGACTAACGATATCAATTTGTAACATATCAGACTCTAAAATTAGAACTCCAAATATGTTGTAAGGAACTAAATAAAAACATCTTAATATAAATACAAAAATGCAATAGCAAATCAATTTGTCAATTTAAAACTCTGAATTTGTTGTTAAGAAAATAAATAAAAACATATTAATATAAATAAAAAATAAAAAATAAACAGTAAAAGTGTTTTTACATCATATCAACTATTAAAAAAATTAAAAATAAGAAGCATGTAGATACAAATAAAAAATGAAAAAATAGATGAAAAAGCATCAATATCTGCCACACGATCGCATAAAAAAAAAAACTAAAAAAAAAAGAAAATGGAATGAGAAATTAATTATTTTGTCCATCTCTTATTTAGGTTTCTAACTATATTTGATTTATTTTTATCAATATCTAAAATGATATCATCACCTTTACTCTAAAATTAATAAATCCAAATATACAACAGATAAAAATATAAATCCACAATTTCCGAGTCTCATGATCAGCCCTAAAAGAGAGAGAAGTGATGAAAACTAGGTTTTAATCCATTTGAGGTTAAGTTGTCAGAATATACAAACATCCACAATAGTGGTACTCATTCAGCAACTTATAATACCAAAGACGACCAAGACAAATAATATTAATACAAGCATACAACAGATAAAATGGAAATTCAGAAATTCATTATAAATAATCTTCTAAAGATCCCACAGATACTAAGCACTCAAGGTTAAAGACTTTAGAAAGTTAAATTAAATTACACTGATTCAAGAGTAACACTATTACATTAGCTTCCATTAGAGATACCAAGTAGCTTAAAAGGTCGCCTTGTTTTCTGATGCATGTATCCACAAATCCAGAAGCTGCAGCACAGACGATTAGCTCAAAAGTTTCAATGACGATGCTGTTTCGGCCAGGTTATCGATATAGGCCTTAAACTTGGCAGCTTCCACCACGTACTTAGGGCATTCATAGGAGCAGTGGTTTCCAAAATCCATGCAAAATACACAGCACTTGACCGCCGCTTTGGCTTTTTTCCCATAACACATAATACAAGCCCACTTATCCTCATCAAATGGCATTCCATCTAAGGTGCAAGCTACTGTGAATTTAACCCGGTTAAACTTAGCCCCTTGTGGCAAAGAGCGTTCATAAGGGCAGCCCCAATTTTCGTGAGTCGTAAAACAAGTATCACAGTATTTATAAAGGGGAGGGGGCGGAGGAAAATGCTCTAAATAACACTTGCTGCAAAGCACAGGTGGGTCTTCGGGTTTGAAAAAAGCGCAAGGGGGCAGAGGAAGACGCACTAAACAAGACTTGCTGCAATTGTCGCAACGAAGACTTGGAACGTATGGGGTTACCACTTCATTTGGAACCTGTACTAGTTTGCTCTCCACCTCGTTATTTCCTGTTCAGTTAAATAATTACAACATTAATAAAAACAGTACATCCGCAAACAATAACAATCAATTCTAGGAAGTAGGATATCAATCACCATTGTATTCTAGGAACAAATCTGACCACCTACCTAAGAGTGACTTTGATTATTACAACCTAATTGCACAAATTCGAAATAATAAGCACCACAGAGCAGAGAAAACAATATTGGAACACTATTAGTATTAGTTAACCGGAACAACGACCACTGTCAAGCAACAAAAATCAACAAGATCAATTCCACGAAACTATTTGTTGGTTAGACGGGACATGAAACTGAAGGGAATCGATATAATGAGATAATATATGGGGCATATGTACCACGAACAACAAAATTAAAACTG